AGTCACAGAGGAGAATGTGGTTCACAATCCCCCTCCACCTTCCCCTTCAAGTATCATCATGGGACTCCTGGGTAAATCACAATGGCAGACAGGATTTGACATTTCTCAGAGCTTCCCTAGAAGATTTTCCCTCCAGGAGACAATTAATAGCCAAGATGAGCCTCCTGCGAGTAGGGGAGGCCATGTTACTTAGTAGAAAATTAAATTCTAAGACCACAATTCTTGCCCCAATGTTGAAAATTAATAAACGTTTGTCGATGGAATGAATAGCAGCTGTCACTGATATCAGAAGTCAGTTGTTCTTGGAGGAAAAGGCATTGCCTCCTCTTTCATGAATTAAATAAACTTTGGAGAGATTTGTTTTTACCTTTTTCCCTTTGAAACCTCCCCAGAAGAAGACAGCCCCACTGCCCAATGTTCACTTCTCCCAGAAGGGTTGTTCCAAGTCCCTCATTGGTTTTCCTTCCTTTGCACAGGATCCCATCATCCAGAGCTTCTTGGAAGATAGGACTGTATTCTTGATGTCTTACAAAAATATCTGCAGCATTAGAGTGATGAAGGATCCTGAGGGACGAGGGTGCAGGTAAAGAAAATAAGATTTTTGGGGGGGGCTGGAGAAGTCCTAGAGAGACCTGCTCTCAATGCCAGAAAGAAGAAAGGCCACACTGTCTGCTCCCTGCCCTGACCACTGGGTAACTCCTCCCTGAACTTCCCATGAATTCATCTCCACATGTCACAGGCCAGGAGACCCCCAACAGGTCACGCCCTGAGAAGTTTTGCTGCCATGACCCTTGGATAGGAGAAAGTCCAATAGCCCATTCACAACACTATTCCTCTATTCAAACTTCATCACCCAACATTTTCCAGCCCGCTAACTCACCAGCTCTTTTTCTACTCGGTACTTACTCTCCATGGTAGTAGGGTACTTTGGCAATGTTGGCCTGCCTACACACTTCTATAAGAAAGGATACAATGCTTCCTGGCACACAATTTATAGATAGTGCTTTTTGGGAAAAACTTCTCAAATAATGTTCTTGTTTAAGGGAGGGCGAGCTATAGTCCCTGGGGAAAGTCTGGCCTTTTGCTGTTTGGTTTTTTTAAATAGATTAATTCATACACCATACAATCTACTCACTTAAAGTGTACATTTTGATGATTTTTTAGCATATTCACAAATTTGTGCAACCTTCACCACAGTCAATTTTAGAACATTTTCAGCACCTCAAAAAGAAATTCTGGATCTTTTAGCTTGATATTGTCCTATCTTCCATCACTCCCCAGCCCTGGGAACCCCAATCTCCTATCTGTCACTACGGATTTGTCTATTCTGGACTTTTCATATAAAAGAATTGTGTACTCTGCACTACCTTGTGACTACTTCTTTTCCTTAGTGTAATGTTTTCAAAGTTTTTGCGTGTTGTAGCATGTAATGAGTACGACATTTCTTTGTCCGGCTGAACACTATTCCATTGTATGGATATGCCCCTTTTTTAAATCCATTCATCATTTGAGGAAGATTTGGGTTTTTCTCCTGTTGGTCTATTATGAATAATACTGCTATGATCATCCATGTACAAGTCTTTATGAAGACATGTTTTCATTTCTCTTGTGTATATAGCTAGGAGGAGAATTATTGAGTTATATGGTAACTCTATGTTAACTTTTTGAGGAATCACCCAAATGTTTTCAAAAGTGGTTACATCATTTTGCTTTCCCATCAGCAAGCTATGATTTTCCAAATTCTCTACATCCTCATCAACTCTTATCGTTGAGTATAGGTATTTCAGTGAGTGTGAAATGGTTTTATTATTATTTCTCCAACAACTAGTGGTGTTGAGCATCTTTTCATTTGGTTATTGGCATTTATATATTTTCTTTGAAGAAAGGTCTATTCAAATTCTTTGTCCATTTTTAATTGTGTTGTCTTATTTTTCAACTTGTAAGAATTTTTACATATTCTAAATACTAGAATCGTATTAGATATATGATTTGCACATATTCCTCCCATTTGACAGTTTTTCACTCTCTTAATATTGTCCTTTAATGCACAAAAGTTTCCAATGTTGATGAGGTACAATTTTTCTGTTTTTTCTTTTGTTACATGTGCTTTAGGTGTACAATCTAAGAAAACGCTTCCAAGTTGGAAACCATGAGAATTTACCCCAAAGCTTTTCCTAACAGTTTTACCACTTATATTTAGGTCTTTTTCTACTTTGAGTTAATTTTGTATTTCATGTGAAACATGGTTTAAAATTCATTCTTTTGCATGTGGATATTTAGTAGTACCATCATCATTTGTTGAAAAGAGTATTCTTTCCCCCTTTGAATTTTCTTGGAATGTATATAAAGTTATATTGCAACACAGCAATGCTCATTAATTATTCCTGCTTTGGCATTACAATGGTAGTGTTGAGTAGGTGTCATAAAGACCATATGGACTGCAAAGTCTAAAATATTTATTATCTGGTCCTTTACAGAAATTTTGCCAATCCCTGCTAAAGAGGGACCTTTTGGTGATCACACTTTGAACGGGCTTCCCTCTGGGAGTGTTTAGCCTTGTATCATTTCTCCTTTTTGTTTATTTATTTGTTTTGCATTTAAACGTCAATAAGAGATTTACTGAGGTCCACTATGTGTCATTTAACTGTCTGGTGACTTTCCCATCATTCCTGATCACCATTTTCTGTGGATGGATATAATGCCTTCTCTGATTTTGCAACTGATTAATGCGTGGGCAGATTAATACATTCTTAATCGATATTTTCAGAGCCTAACGCAATGCATCTCTAGTCTTTTGGACATGCAATTTGATTTAATTTTTGATCAGCATTATGAAGGTGTAATTTACATGCTTACAAAATTCATTCATTTTGAGTGTTCTAGTCAATAGATTTTAGTAAATATGTACAGTTTGATATCTACCATCACAATCCAGTTTTAGAAAATTCCCATTCTCAAAAAATGTCCTTAGGCCTATTCATAGTCAATCACTGCTCCCACTTCTGGCCTCATGAAATCAAACAATGATCTGCATTCTGGCTATATAATTTCTCCTTTTCTAGAATTTTCATATGAACGAAATCATATAGTATGTGGCCTTCTGTGTCTGACGTCTTTCACTTGGCATATTTTTGAGGATCATTTAAATTTCATTGGTGGGTAATATTCCTCCTCCCTCTGTCCTTCTATTCACTGTTCCAAGAAAAGATATGTAGAGACATGCAATCTTCTCAGAACATATATCTCCAGTGGATTTCATGGGAAAATTATTTCTAGATCTAATATTTAAGTTTTAAAAATTTTAAGGCAGCTAATTGATAACAAGAATATATGAAATTGAAATTAGTAAAATATATACATATTTTTTCATATGTATATGTGTATATATACATATATACACCTACACACTTTGGATTGGATATATTAGCTTTTGACAGGTAGATGTTATCAGAGACCTGGAAAAAATCTGTGCTGATAGTTGGAATTTTAAAGTATTAGCAAAAGAAGTGAAAATGATATGGGACTGAGATTGAGGGCATCTTTCAAGATAGAACGAGAGGGAAGAGAAATCTTGCAGATGCTTACAGAAAAGAATCTTTGCATTTTGTCTCCAGATCCTAGTCTTGAGGGCTGAGAGCATATTTAAGGGATGGTTTGGATGGTCCTAAAATCATTCTGCTCTTGACTGAGAGCACACAGTAGGCAAGGCGCTGAGCTGCTCTTACTCGATCTACCCTGGATACTGGGTAAGAGGGAATCACAAAGAAAAACTGGAAACACACCCAATAGAGAATCTTTGCTTGACCAAACTTTATTCAGGCTCCTGAACCTTCTCCTAGGTCCATCTGTGCACTTCCTTGTAAAATTTAGTTTTCCTAGAATCCTGCTAAGTCACTTTAGCAAAAGTCCTCCATATCTGCTCACTTTTGATATCGCATCAGTTTCCTCATCCTCCACCATTCTTCAGCTGATATCTGGTCACTCTGGTGTGTCTTTAGCAAAGGTCTTCTTTGGCCATTTTAGCTAGACCACCTCCCCCCCCGCCCCCAACCACCACCCCTTAGTCCTGATGGTTCCTCAGGAGTTTTCTATTCACTGACCCCCACCTTGCTCCTTGGCTATAAATTCCCACTTGTCCAGCTGTATGTGGAATTGAGCTTGTTTCTGCACGAGGCTTCTTTTTTCCTATTGCAATAGTCCTGAATAAAATCTGCTTTTATCACTTTAACCACTGTCCAGCTCTAGTTTTTATTTGATACACCTCGCCATCAATTTTCCTAACTTCTTGATAGCTAGAATTGGAGTGTATTTGATTGTGTGTGTGTTTCAGTGTGTTCACACGTCTTCCCTAGGCTGCTGGTTACTCAAGGGAGATCCTGTGATTCTTATAGCCATGTGACTTTTTCCAAGCACCCTTGACTCTGTCCTTGATCATGCGTAGTTTTTACTTTAGGCAGAGAGCTGAACCAGTCTTCATTTTGACCATCTCTCCAGGAGAGGGAGCCACTAACACATGTTTCTCCATTCAAGAGTCGCAAGCAGCAGTGTCACAATCACTTTATAAATCAGCAAGCAGAGAAACAAGTTTCTAAGCTCCTGATCCACTTGGCATCCAAGAATGCCTTCGGGGTCTCTAATCACTTCTGTGAGAGAAGGTCTGAGACATAACCTCACAGTCAGCAGTGGGGAGGCAGATGATGATGAAACTCATTGTCATTGTGTTCTTAAAACAATTTATATCCTAACAAAAGGGCAGCCCTATAAACTCCCCCACACGGCATTTCAGATAGACTTAAGGCAAAGATTCAGTAAACTGGTCACAAAATCCCTTGAGACTTGCCTGAGCTACACTGGAAAGTTTTTGTGATCCCAAGTCCCACTGGGTGAACTGTGAGCAGGTGTCCCTTTTGAGCATCAACCCAAGCTCTTCTGAGCTGATTTGCATGTCATTAGGCAAGGCTCCAGACTGCTCACAACATCCTTAAAGGCAGCTTGTCAGGGCCCCTGAGAAGCAGCCTCTGGTTCAACTCTCAGAGATGGGGTCAAGGGCTTCACTGCTGTGGATCCTGCTGCTCTGGGTTCCAGGTGAGAGGGCGGGTATACAGAGGAATGTTGGTAAATTTATGGTGGCCATCCTGCTTTCTGTGTCTCTGGCTTTTGGTCCCTGGAATTAAAGCATTTGTTGTAGGTTTCAAGTTACCCAATTTTCTGGCTTCTCAGACCGTTGCTCATAACTGTGATTACAGGTGTCAACAATGCAATGGGCCTACATTGGGATGATCTGAGTACATCTCTTAAGTTTGTTGTGTTTATCATTCCAGGCTCTACTGGGGACATTGTGCTGACCCAGTCTCCAGCCTCCTTGACGGTGTCTCCAGGTCAGAGCGCCACCATTTCCTGCACGGCCAGTCAGAGTGTTCTTTCTCCTCCCAGCTATGACCTTAACTGGTATCAACAGAAACCAGGACAGGGTCCTAAACTCCTGATCTCTTCAGCCTCCAAGCTAAAGTCTGGGGTCCCAGCCAGGTTCAGTGGCAGTGGGTCTGGGACTGATTTCACCCTCACAATTAATCCTGTGGAGGAGGCCGATGCTGCAAACTACTACTGCCAGCAGGGTAAGGAGTCTCCTCCCACAGTGATCCGGGTCTAAACAAAAACCTCTCGAGGCAGCTGCTCACTGAGGCTCAACTCTCTCAGATGCTCCTCCCCACCGGGACCTCAACCCCCTGTGTCTAGATTATTTGGAGAATGAGGTCAAACTATGAACCAGAAAATTCTCACACCAATGTGTACGTACATGTGCCCCACATGACCTGTTTTATAATTTAGTTCTCTTATTACTACAGACCTCACACGAAAGATCTCTGTAGTTGTTTTAGAAAACTAAGAATTGTGACGTAGTTATTTTTTCCCCTTTGATTTCTCTATCTTTGTGTTATTCCCCCAAACTAGGTCTTCAGTTCTAGATATATTTACTTGTCCTTTTCTTCTCATCCAAAATTTTATGTTCTTTTTCTGTGATACAGATGGTCGAGGTCTACTCTTGTCTTCTCTCTTTTGTCTGTTTCTGTTTTATCTGTTTCCTCATCAGTTGGACAAGATACTTTATGTGTCCCCAGAGACGTTGGTGGGGGTTACATATGGAAGAAGTATGCAAATTATATGGTGTGTGGTAGTGGGTCAGGGAGACAGTGATTAAATGGCAGAGTGTGGAACTTCACGCATGAGCTCTAGGTGGTGCTCTCATCACAGCTCTACTTAGTTTCAAAAGGGTTATGACTAAAATTCAAACTCCTGGCAACTATCATCATCTCTCCTTTCCTTTGCTTTTTTGCAACAACACTTTTATTATTCTGCGGGATTCAGTGCTGCATCTTCAGCCATTCTGATGCGAAATAACAGGCCAGTGACAGCCGCCATGACAATACTCCCGACATCACCAACGGTTGCATCTCTCTGGGTCCCGTACTTAGGATCCTGTTCTACTTACTTTACACATGGTTGAATACAGGATCTTTAACAGTTTCCAACCGTACGCTTGGTTCCATGAATACTTAGCTCTCTTTTGTGATAGTTACACACATACATTAGATTATGTGTAATAGGACTAATAGGGCACATGTGTATGGTGATGGAAGGTAATTAGTCTTTGGGTAGTGAACATGATGTAGTCTACACAGAAATTGAAATATAATGATTTACACCTGAAATTTACATAATGTTATAATCCAGTGTTATCTCAATAAAAAAAAGAAATTCTGCTTACCTGATTTCATTCTCCTAGAGCGGAATGTGAATAATGGGCTGGGGTATTCCTTGCTGTTGAAACAGAGAGCATTCACAAGAAGGTTTGAAGCTTCAGTTTTGCACATGTCTAGTACATATCGGTGGAAAACAGGACCAGCTACATAATTTGTGAGCCTCAGCGTAAAACGACATGCCTTTAAATGATGGACTATGGTAGAAGTAATAGGATGCCACATCAGATATAAGGTCAGAAAAGCCCATGGCTTCCGTCTTGGACACGTTTGCTCTTTGTCTTTTGACTCATTATCCCTGGGACAAGCCAGCTGCCATGCCGTGGGACCACCTTGTGGTAAGGGAATGAAGCTTGCCGTTAACCATGTAAGTGAGATTGATGTGGGTCTCTCCCAACCAGTAGAGCTCTGGCCAGTAGCTTGACTGTAAACTCATGCAGAAGTTTGAGCCAGAGTCACCCCTCTGATCTGTGCTTGAATTCTTTCAGAATCTGTAACATAATAAACGTTTGCTGTTTTAAGCTTCTAGTTTTGGATATCTGCTGACACATCAACTGATAACTTATTCAGATTTTGGTAACTGGAGGTGAGCTGCTTGGACTGAGGGGGCAGAGGCGTTACAGAATGAAGAAAGGATTTGGAATCCAGACTTGTATAAGTAGGAAGCAGCCTGAAAATACCACTTAGCTGCAAACCCTTGCTACTCTTCATCAAAATAGAAGGGTGACACAGAGGGCAGAACCAAAAGCTGAGCCAAAATCCATGATAAATTATTCTGGGACCTCAGACCTAATCGAGCATCTTCCAACATCTGCCCGACTGCACTTCATTGTTGCTGTGGACCAGAGAGTCCTTTGTGCTACCCGTTTCCTCCTTTTTGAAGAGGAATTGCTATGTTGTTATGATATCCCTGTCTTACCGCTGTATGTTAAGTGTGTGGAGGAAGAATTCTTGTGCCTTTTCTTTCACATGTCTAGAAATTGAGAGGACCTGTACTTGAGGATCCATGCTTCAGGAACTACACCAGAGCAGCCTCGTCTGCACTTAGATGTGATTCAGATAATGAGAATCTGGACTTTGAGCTGATGCTGTAATGGGATAAGACTTTTGCAGACCTAAGATTTCGGTTAGTATATTTTGAGTGCGAAAGGACGTCAACCACTAAAGGCCAGAGGTCAGGATCATATGAACTCCAGATGAAGCACTCACTAGCTTCGTAATATGTACTTTGGGAAAGATTTTCAAATACTAGTTTTGTAGCTTATTAATGTACTTTTCATAATGTGCAGGATGATGACAAAAAGGTGTGTTGATTTGGATACCACCATGTACGTCCTTGGGATCACACAGTAATTTATCTGGATTTAACCCGAACCTCTGAGTTATGCAGTACTGAGTAATGCAGTACGCTTTCTCTGTTCTGGGAATTAAATAATGTGATTCTTCTTTTTCTTCTGTCAATCCAAGTAATGTTTAATATTCAGACATTTCCCACACTTTATTGGAAGATAACACACAATGAAAAAACAGACAAGTCATAAGCCTATTGCTTATGGATGTTAAAAAGATAGGATATTATAAAAAAAATTTAGGCATAAAATGTGCAACCTGAAGAAAAAAAGGATAGATTAAAACACACACACACATATAAACACAAAAATTCTCCAATATTCATATATGGAAAATGTCCCATATCTACTAAAGAAACTAGAGGCTGAAAAGAAGACTACAAGATAACATAGGATAGAAATCCAGTGATGGAAGTCAGTAGAGGTGAAAATGCATCATAATTTCCTATTCTATAATACGCAGACTGAGATGTGGTGCTCAATTTTTGCTGAATATGATGTATAGAAATAATATAGATCCTGTTTGTGAGCCAACCCATATTGTAATGCTTTCTCGTGTGATTGTAGACAAATTATTCATTTTTTAAGCTCAAATATTATTATTTTAAAAACCTGAACTATGAGAATCCTTATGAAGTAATGAAATGTAAAATTAGACAATCCTCCTAAAAGAGCTAATTTCCTTTCTCAGCAGGTCAAGATGACTCTAGAATTTGTGTACAAGTTAGTCTGTTTATACCTCGATTTCTTCCTCCAAAATATTTGATTTTAATTAAATATTTGTTAAAAATTAGAAAAATAAGCCACCGTCCGTGTGGCTCAGTGGTTAAGTTCATGTGCTCCACTGTGGCGGCCCAAGATTTAACCGGTTTGGATCCTGGGCACTGACCTAGCACTGCTCACCAAGCCATGCTGTGGCAGGCATCCTGCATAGCAGAACGAATAGGACCTTCAACTAGAATATACAACTAAGTACTCTGGGGCTTTGGGGAGAAAAAAAATAGAGGCAGATTGGCAACAGGTGTTAGCTCAGGACTAATCTTAAAAAATAGAATGAAGGAAGAAGAGAAGTTAAAAAAAATTAGAAAAATAAGACTAAAAATGGGGAGACCAAATTGAAATAAAACAACAAACCTAATCATAAAAATCAAAACAAGTGTTACATGATCCAAAAAAGAAAAGAAAAAAATACAAAGTAGACTTTACTAAAATTAAACTTCTACACTTCAAAGACACAGTTAAGAAAATGAAAAGAATAAACCACATACTTGGAAAAAATAATCAGAAGGCACAAATGTTGGAGAGGAGTTGTATGTAGACTATACAAAGAACTCTCAGAGTCAATAACAAGAAAATAAACACTCCTATAAAAACTTGGCCAAAAATGTGAAGAGATTCTTCACTGAAGAAGATATGCAGTAAAGTGGCAAAGCCTGCCTGAGCAACTCGAATGCCCAGGCATTGCTGTTGGGGATGCAAAATGGCACAGCCCCTTTGGGAAACAGTTGGGCTGTTTCTTAGAAACTTGAGCCTACACCTACTTTATGAACAAGCAGTCCATTACTAAGTATTCACCCAAGAGAAATGAAACCCTATATTCACACAAAAACGTGTACTCAAATGTTTATAGCAACTTTCTTCATAATAGTCAAACATTAGAAACAGCTAAATGTCTTTAAACTGGTAATTATATAAGCAAACTATGGGTCAGCTATGCCGGACTACTACTCAGCAAAAAAAAGAATGAACTACTGATACACACAACAACAAGGATGAACCTGACTGCATTATGCTAAGTGAAAGAAGCCAGACTCGGCAGCCTACATACTGAATGGTTCTGCTCCTAGGAAATTCTGGAAGAGGTAAACTATAGGATAAGAGAGCAGATCAGTGGTGTCCTGGGACTGGGGGTCAGGAGAGGTTGACTACAAAGTGACTCAAAGGAACATTTAAGGGCAATGAGTCTGTTCCCTGTCTTGGATGTGGTTGTGGGTACATAGCTATGCATTTACCAAAAAGCATAGAAGTTTAGACTAAAAAAGGTGTACATTACTGTCTGTAAATTATGCTTCAGTAAACCTCACCCTAAAAAAGAAGTGCTGTGATTGGATGTAAAACCCGGCTCTGAGCTTCTTGGAAACCAATAAAAAGTAAATGTGGTTATTTATATACCTCATATCCACAGGGAAAAAGTGCCAGTTCTTATGTGTGACTAATGGTTTTCCTATTATTAAGCTGAAGACAATTTCTATCTTGGTAGCATTGAATAGGAGCTGTGTATTGGGTAGTATTTTAAATGATAATTTCAAAGAAAATAAAAAAATGGAATTCATATGATTACGTCTTGGACAAAGGCTGACTGTGAACAGAGAACCACAGATAGTAAGGTTGGTGTGTGGCCTGGGATTCAAGTGGACTGTCCACTCACTGACCTCAGAGGGAGTTTTTCTTGGTGAATTCACCAGAGTCAAGGGTCCACTTCTTAGACTTGCGGGCTCATAAACCCTTGCTGCTATTTCAGAGCTGAATGGACTCATCCTAATGTCAAGCCTAATGCCCATTTATTCATTTGCAACCACAAATCTGTCTATCTGGTAAAGTGGATGGTGGCGTCCTTTGGCCAGCACTTCTCTTCCCAGCTGGGGGAGGTGTGATGTGGTCGTCAGAACATCACCTAAGACAGGATTAGAACCTTGACTGCATTCTAGGAGCTGAGCGTGATAGTAGGTAAATGACTTAACTTTCCCTAAGCTTCAAATTTCTCATCTGACATGTGGGAATAATAACACCTCACAAACAACGGTGCTGTGAGGAGTAAATAAAATAGTACAAATGAATGCCCTTGCATAGTGCCTGGGCATGCAATTAGTTCTTAGTATGTATGAAGTTTCATTGATTAGACACACAGAGGAAGCAAATTTACAGATAGGTGGCTGATGACATCAGCTTTTTTGGAGTTTTCTCCTCCACACAGTAACCAGAGCAATCTCGAAAGAAAAGTAAACTAGATCAAATTATTCCCCTGTTTAAAACTTTTCAAAGAGTTCTTATTGCACCTAGAAACTCCCTGGCATGTTCTCCCAGGCCTACATCATTGGTTCTCATCCTTGGCCACTCTGATTGGAATCTCCTGGGGAACTTTAACCACTAAGGATGCCTGGATTCTGCCCATAGAGATTCTGATGAACCTGGCCTCAATGGTGACTGGGCGTCGGACTTTCATGAACCGTCCAGGTGATTCCAGGGTGATCTGACCTGCCCTCTCCCTACTGTCCAACCATGTTTCTTACCACGCCTCCTCTCCCTTCCTGCTCAGCCACTGGGCCTCCTCTCTGATCTTTACTTGTGCTGAGCTCTTTCTCCCCTCAGGAGGACCTAGGACTTCCTCACTCCTGAGGGACCAGCCCAGATGCTTCCAACCTTTCAATGTCAATCTCAAATGCCGCCTCTGTTAGGACTCTGGTCCCTGCTCAGAACCTGGGGTTCTCTTTCATGTCAGGAATCTGGGGCTTGGGAGGGCTGCAACTTTAACAAGAAGTCTCTCATCACTGGTTGTAGCTGAAAACTGGTGCATCTTTATATATTGATTACAAAGTTCACAGGGCTAATTTGATTTTCACAGTGAAGATGTTTAAGTCTTAGGTATTTAAAAATTTTTTAAAGTATTAAAAGTATTTAAAAGGCTTTTTGGATTCCCTGATGTAGAGTAGAAACTAGGGTAAGGTGGGTGAGGCAGTTGCCTCAGGCACAAAATTTAAGTAGTACTAAAAACTCAGTAATTCAGAGATATAATATTTTAATGAAACATTTTAAAAAATCAAAATTAATTAAAAAATCCATGACGGAAAAAAATCACAGTTTTAATTAAAGACATAATTTGTCTTGTGAATAAATAAATATCAACAGACATTGTTTTATTTTGTGGCTGTAGTGTTCTTGAGAGAATTTATTCTGTGTCCTACTTGGGTTGTGTGTTTTAAAATAGGGTGATGGAGATTTCCAGAAGTATATTATTTGTGATAAAAATATTTTATATTAGAAGACAAATGGTCCAATTGTGGAAGAGAATGGAAAATTTCTATGAAATTTTAAAGGAAATCAAACACAAGACTGTAGAATTTTTTCCCATGAAAGCTTTCGGAGAAGACCTCAGAATTTTGTATTTTCTTTTTCTGCCACTAGGTGTGGTGAGAGGCGGTAAAGAACATGAGAGTACACGATGGTAGAGTTGGTACAATGTGCAGATTATCTCACATCCTATATCTGGCTGAAAATGGGAGGGGGACTTGAAATAGTGGGAAAAACCTTAGGATTCAAGCCTGGTCAACTTTGCAAACAAGCTTACACAAAATTTTTCTGGTTGAGCCTCTGCTTCCCATATGGAAAATGAAAATGTTGGAAGACATGAGGTGTAAGGCTCTTTCTAGCTTTAATATTCAAGATATTTTGAAAAACAAAGACTCATGAGCAATCTTACTTTTAAGCAATTTCACTGGTTAAAAGTAAGACAGTAAAACTCTTGTGTGGCTGTTCATACAAGTCTTTATTTAGGGAACAAGCGATTATGGTACCTTGCAGGGTCATAAAATTGTAGTTTATAAATATGACCAGCAGATGGCAGCAGGTGTCCACTTCTGTTTGAAAGTAATCTTCCAAGCCTCCGGTTCCTCTGGGTGGAATTGTGGTTCAGGAATGAAACTGTTTAAACCATTCATAACATCCAGTCCCAAAAGAGGTTTTCTTTGTAAGTCGGGAAAGTTGTTTATTTTATTTTATTTAATTGAGGTATAATTGACATGTAACATTCTATTAGTTTCAGTTGTACAAAATAACAATTTGATATTTGCGTATATTATGGGATGATCACCACAATAAGTCTAATTAACGTGTCACCATACATAGTTACCAATTTTTTTTTCTCGTGATGAGAACTTAGAAGATTAACTCTTAGCAACTTTCAGATACACAAAGCAGTATTCTTCACTGTAGTCACCATGCTGTACGTTACATCCCCATGACTTATTTATTTCATAACTGGAAGTTTGTACCTTTTGACTCCCTTCACCTATTTTGCCCACCCACATCCCCTGCCTCTGGAAACCATCAGTCTCTTGTCTGTGTCTGTGAGCTTGGATTTTTATTTTGTTTTTCAGATTCCACATACAAGTGAGATCATATATTGTCTTTCTCTTTCTAACTTATTTTACTTTGCATAATGCCCTCAAGGTGCATATGTGTTGTCACAAATGGAACAATTTCATTCTTTTTTATGGATGAATAATATTCTATTATGTACACAAAAACACACACAAGTATATGTACACACACACACCACAATTTCTTTTTCCATATCTTGGCTATTGTAAATAATGGTGCAATGAACATGCAGGTGCATATATATTTTCAAGTTACTGTTTTTGTTTTACCCAGATAAATACCAAGAAGTGAGACTGCCGGATCATTTGGCAGTTCTGTTTTTATTTTTTTGAGGAAACTCCATACTATTTTTCATAGAAGCTGCTCCAATTTACATTCCCACCAACAAGGAGTCCCTTTTCTTCACATCCCGCCAACACTTGCTATCTCTTGTCTTTTTGATAATAGTCATTCTAATAGGTGTGAGGTGATATTTCATTGTGGTTTTGATTTGCATTTCCCTGGTGATTAGAGATGTTGAGCACGTTTACGTGTACTTGGCCATCTGTTTACGCTGTTTGGAGAAATGGATATTCAGATTCTCTGCCCATTTTTTAAATCA